GTCAAGTGATTACTTATTTTTGAAGATATAATTCGATGTACAAATTATCAAAGCAAAAATCATCCAAAGAAGAACATTGAAAATGCATAAATACTATAATAACTCCTTTATACATAATTTTCAAATACTGTTGATAATTACTCACTTGATTATAAGCAATGAATATTTTACTGTTAGCAACCGAGGCAAGGCTGGCATCGGATCTGTGTGATATATGGGCGCCCCTAAGGCATATTGCCTGACTGCTGGAGTGGCATCTCAGGTTGAAATCGTGTGCAGATTCCTTCAAATCACAACAAATAAAACACAATGTATGACCCTAGACTTGGCTTAAAATATTTTGATTATATTTCTCAAACAAATATGAGTATAAAACTAGAAATATGTTTCTTATCCTTATAGCTCTTATAAAATTAAAACAAAAAGAAATTTACAAAGCAAATACTAAAAACATAATAAATGTATCTTAGTACAGATCTACTGTGACAGATGATGTTTTGCTGAAACCAGATAGTTGCATACAATGTAAATATAGTGCTGTTAGGGCACTAATTATTGCCGAGTGTATAGTTTAACACAATACAACTATGGCTATATAACAAATGATTAAGTTTTCCAACTCATTTCTCCTTTTGACTCCAGTGAAAATTTTGCACCACATTTAATATATCATTTAGCTTTGATTTGGTATAAATGGATTGTTTATTTATTAACCCATAAGCCAGAAGTATTTTAAATAACACCTCATGAAACAACACATTTCAACAAAAGCAAATCCAGGCTCCATAGTTAGGGCATTCAGCTGATCCTAGGTTCATAATATGCTCATGTTGAAACTTTTCGAACTATTGCCCGTGTTTATGAGATTGCTGGGAAACTTGTAGGATCCCTCAGAGTAAACTTGCAGACTTCAAGGAGAGAAACATGACCCTAAGAACATATTATTTAGCTATAAATCCTTCTCTATTTATTCTGGAAAATGCCATCAAATTTAAAATGCCTAAATGCCATCAAAATTAAAATGTTAGTTCAAATGTGTCATAATTTTCATGTTCTTAGATTCTTAAAATAAATATTTCATATTTGTAATTTAAACCAAAAATCATTATGTCTAATCCCTTTAATAATGAACTAAGACAATGTTAGTGTGATATGCCTAAATCATAGTCACAAAATACCATGGGAATAACAAGATTTTTAAAATTAATTATATTAGACATTAATTATCACACTAATACAAGATTTTCATTCAGCTAGAATTTTATAATTCAAACAGTTCTTGAATAAAAGAAAAGCAAATATTACAAATGCAAAGCAAGACTAATCCCATTTCAAGTAGCATTTTGCCAGTCAAATCTCCTATTTCAGCAATTCAAGTAATCCACTATGGTATTGACTGACTTAAAAAAACACACATTTAAATAATTCTTTTAGTGATGAATTTATAAAGATTGCAAAAGAAATAGCTGAGGGGAACTGAACCTACTTCTATGGAATGAAATGCAGATTAGAAACAGTTAATATAAGGAAAACATATTGAATAAATTACCCATTAAAGTACAGAATAGTTATAACATGAACTCTGAATTTCTCATCACAGGACACATATGGATAATTAGTTAGTGATATATTGGTATACATAAAAATACAGATATGAATGTGATTATAGTTAAAGAGAATTTAAAAAAGTATTTGTATATGGATATAGATGCAAAATGTGGTAAAGAAGGATTTTTAAAATATACATATAGAGATAAGGATATAGCTATAAATGCAAATATGGTTAAGATAGATTCAAAATAATATTTAAGGATATAAATGATTTAAAATGAAAGATGTGGAAAAGAAGGAAGGCAGAAGGAATTCACTAAACTTTCTCATAAACAATTTAGTATCAATGCCATATGGACAATGCATAACTTTTAATCCGATAACCAAGAATGACCAGTGTCATCTGCACTCCTCCTCATCTGGCCCCTTAAGTTTGCCTTCCCAGTTTGACTTTGTTTTTCAATATCTACATCTCATATCAGTTGTCACTTTTTAGTTTCACAGCTCAAATGCTGATTTTCGAGTGACTTTCTACTGCTACTGGTATGTTGTGACTAAAGATTCCATCTTTCATAATTACTTTTTTTAAAAAAATGTATTTTTACTGATTTCAGAGAGAAAGAGAGAAAGAGAGAGAGAGAGTGAGAGAGAGAGAAAGAGAGAGAGAGATAAACATCAATAATAAGAGAGAATCATTGATCAGCTGCCTCCTGCATCGATTAGTTGCCTCCTGCATTCCCCTCATTGGGATCGAGCCCAGAACCCACCTGGGGATGTGCCCTGACCAGGAATTGAACCACAACCTCCTGGTTCATAGGCCAACATTAAATCACTGAACCATGCTGGCTGGGCTTTCATAATTACTTTTAACTGTTCCTTGCAATCTGTACCATACAAAATATTCTAGAACAGAATATTCTATTTAGAACAGAAATCGTGGCATCAGATAGATTGGCATTCTAACCTTGGTTCTACAATCCATACTTGTGGTGTGACATTGGATAATTAGTTTAACCTTTAAAAACAGGGGAGGACAGTGCTTACCCCTCTCTGTTGCTCTGAGGACCAATAAGAGAGCATACTGTTGTGTATGTTAAGCATGATATACAAGTGTAGGGTGCTTTGTTCTTACATTGGATTTTCACTTTTCCTTTATGACTTTTTGTGTGTAAATGCACTGCTTTGTTGTGTTGTTATGGAAAGTTTTCTAGAACACAAAAGCTTTAGGACAGACAATAATATATCCAAGGTAAATGACACCATCAAGATTCTCTTTTGGTACGAAAATGTCTTTTTTTTATGGTTTTTATCTCTTTCCTATCACCAATATTCACAATTTTACATATTTTTGGTGTGAAAAATAAGCTAATCTTCACACCAACTTAAATGTTTCCCATTCTCAATGTTTGAGTTAAACATAGAAATCAACTTAAAAGTTATCCATCCTCTATGTTTGAGTTAAACATAGAAATAATGCTAAGTAATTGCAAAAAAAATTAATTCACTTTCACAAGTAAATCTGCAGCCCCCCCCCCCCCCCAAAAAAAAAAGGACCCAAGAAGCAAACTGTAAATTCAGGAAACTCATTTTGTACAACATCTAGGCCATAATACTAGTAAAGGTTTAATGATATGAGATTAAACACACACACGCAAAGGAGAACATGCAGAAAAACCAAACAACATTTTCTTCATTAAATATGCTTTATCACTAAATATAATAAATAGTATATTACCCTACATTATAATTGCACAGTTATATGGACTGTTTGGATACCCCAAAATACTCTTTTAATAAAGACAATTGTTATTTTTTGAGAGTATCATGCTAAGTAAATATAGAACCATATGATTTCACTCATGTGTGGGATGTAAAACAAAATGCAATGAATGAACAAACAAACAAAGAAACAGAAAACAAACTCATAGATACAGACAACAGAATGGTGGTTACCAGGGAAGAAGTGGGTAGGGGAAGGATAAAAAGGGTAAAGGCAGTCAAATACAAGGTTATGAGAGGAGACTAGACTGGGTAGTGAGCACACAATTGAATACACAAACAATCCTATACAATAAGAGGGTAATATGCAAATCGACAAAATGGTGGAAAGACTGGTCCTTATGACGTGCACTGACCACCAGGGGGCAGATGCTCAACACAGGAGCTGCTCCCTGGTGGTAGTGTGCTCCCACAAGGGGAGCGCTGCTCAGCCACTGGCGAGTGCAGCGACCCACCTCCGAGGCAGTGCTAAGAATGTCCAACTGCAGCTTAGGCCTGTTCCCTGTGGGGAGCGACCTAAGCTGTCAGTCGGACATCCCCCTGAGAGCTCCTGGACTGCGAAAAGGTGCAGGCTGGGCTGAGGGAACCCTCTACCCCCTGTGTGCACCAATGTCATGCATGCGGCCTCTACTATATTATAAAATTGTATACCTGAAACTCATATAATGTTATTAAGCAATGTTACCCCAATAGGTTTAGTTGAAAACACAGAAAGAAATAAAATGTAATGCTAGAAGAAAATATGAGAACATAAACAGAACAAATATTTGCGAATGTATATATGAAAAATATTCACTATTGTTTCACTTGTTTTGTGAGTGTTGCACTATTTAGAGCAAAACATATGCTCTTAGACTTAATGTGAATATGGGTATATTTAACTTTAAAAATCAAATGTATACTTCACATATTTAAAAAATATTTTCATATCTTTAAGGGCAAAGTTTAAATGCTACCTTTGCCATGAAGTTTCCCCTAGAAAGAATTACTGTTGGAAATATCATTGCACCTTATAACATCTCATTTGCTTTTATACTAAGGCACATGTCTCTGTATGTTTAGGAATGCCTAGCACCGCATGCCATCAATATAGTAAATGCTAACATCAAGTTGAAAGAAATAAGTTACTCTAAAGAATAGGTATTAAAAAAAAAAAGATTTCCCACTGATTTTTAGAGCTAGAAGAAGGGAGAAGGAGAGACAAAAACATCGATGTGAGAGCGAAACATCATGTTGCCTACCAGAGATCGAGTCTGTACCCGGAGCATGTGCCCTGACTGGGAACCAAACCATCAGACTTGCGGTGCACAGAAAGATGCCCAAACAACTGAGCCACACTGGCCAGGGCAGAAGTAGGCATTTTAAAAAGAATGTTGTACTATGGTTATTTGCGTGCATGTTTGTACCTTTGACATAAAATGCCTCAAGATACCAGAGAAAGATATCCAAAAACAGAGGCTGTAACATATACTAGTCCATCCCCAGGAACATTTCATGCAAATAGAATTTTGTTGTAGAAAAGAAACATAACATCTGATTTTCCATCCATGGAAGCAAAGTTATGTTTTCTCTAAACATTGATGGGGGAAAATAGATCGTTCTAACAGAAGCAGATAACTTTTTGGTGGAGCAGTGCAAACGCAGCGTGGGACAGAACAGGAGGGACTTACGACCATCTTGTTGAGCGACACCCAGCAGTCGGAGGGGAAGTCCTGTAGCAGCGGCACCAGGAACTGCAGGCAGCCGTCCCAGTGGCACAGCAGCAGCATCATGCCGATGAGGTTGAAGATGCGCACCACCGCGCTGGCCAGGTCGTAGGTCATGTGGAAAATCTGGGACCAAAATATAAAGTCGGTTCTTAGAATCAATTTTTTTTAAAAAGTCAAGAATACTACCAATGTCAGTAGTCATTGATATTATATCATGTAAGTACTGACTTCATAAAAATATGAGAAGACTTTTACAAAGAGAAACAGAATTCCATTTCTTTCTCTCTGCACGGAGACCAGGCATTCCGCTTTCTGAATACTACAAACGACTGTGAGTCCTCCGCAAAGAACAGAGATAACAGAGATACATTAAATGTATGGGTCACATTTAAAAGCATTGGTTTTGCCCAGCCAGGTGGCTCAGGGGTTGAGCATCAACCTATGAACCAGGAGGTCATGGTTTGATTCCCCAGTCAGGGCACATGCCCAGGTTGTGGGCTCGATCCCCAGTGGAGGGTGTGCAGGAGGCAGCAGATCAATGATTCTCTCTTATTATTGATGTTTCTATCTCCCTCTCCCTTCTTCTCTCTGAAAACCAATAAAAATATATTTTAAAAAACATTGGTTTTGCAAATAATTTTCATTTATGTTCTTCTGGGCATTTCGGCAAAGCTGCTTTAAAACATGATAGCAAAATTGACAAGTGATAGCAACCCTCTTCTTTTTCTTATTTCTTATTAACATAAGGGACTTACTGAAGGACAAAATAATAGTAGTAGTAGTAGTAGTAGTAGTAGTAGTAATAAGCTAAGAACTAAAGACGACTGACAAAGGGAGTTTAATTGTAAAATATAAAGACTGAGAATTAATTGCAGTTAACTTTTAGCTATATGAGTGCAATTCTTTATCTGTGTATATTGAACATGAATAGTAGCCTTTGAGATAACAATTCCCTGGATTTGGTTAAAAAAAACAACAATAGTTGAGCAACATTTAACAAAAAATAAAATTGTTATTTCCATTTATATTGTTTGCACAGTACAGGCTACCCTTTTCTATGACTCTTTCTTATTGACATTTTTAAGAAATTAATAAATATGGCTACACTACATATGCAAAGACATAGCAGCTTGAGATATTCTGAATCACATTTTGGATAATTCTCAGAAGAATAACTTATTTTGGAAGTAAGAAGGACAAGTATTGCAAAATTCTCTGAGGAAAAGAGCAAGCCCCACAAAATTTGTATTTTGATTTAGAAAACAGGTCTTTGTAAGGAAACTTCTATAATTCTTAATAGAGATAAGATGACAGGATTGCTAGAGTTTTTCTGTTATAAAAATCACCCAATCTGTCTTCAATTAAATGTTTTCCACCTTGCTCCATTTCTATTAGCCATTAATTCTTTCTTTAAACTATCTTCCTTTTTGACACAGTAATTACAGTGAGCAAAAAAATAATCCTGCTTTGTGGAAATGTACGCACTGTTCTGAATTCCTTTCAAAAGTAAGTTTGGGGTCCTAGATTTAAAGGCAACAGCTCATGAATTTTGACATTCAGCAGCTATACACATAATTTAATTAAGGAACTGACAATTTTATTTTCCCTTAAGTTATTTTTTAATTTGTTTTTTGTATTTGGCAAATCCATAGAAAAGTCCTTTTGAGGTTATTGCCTATGATATTTCTTGGTCACTGAATTTGTAAATAGAAATTGTATAACATTTTCAATAAAAACATCTCATTAAAAGTAATATAGTAAAACATAATAAAAAAGGTTCCTACTATTAAAGTAGAAAAAATCACCATGGATTAAAATTTTGTTGTTGTTTAGTAATAGAAGTCTATATTTATAACTAAGTATTTCCTGCCAAAATAGTTCAATATGACTTTTGTGCATTGTTGGAAAATAGGGTAACATTACAGAATTTGAACTCTGGAGCAAACAAGAAACTAACTACTTTTTAACCCGATTCCTTGAAGTAAACAATAACTATGTGAAACTCTTGCCCAAGTCTGTACATTATAAGCACACAGGTAGCAGTCATCATCCAGTTACAGACTGTCGGGGAAGATTAGGGCTGTTAGAAGGACTAGTGCCATTCTTAGTAAAGCTGACTTTCATGAATTTTCTATTTTGTTTTTATGGAATTTGATTTTCTCTGTGAAATCTTCAGGGATTATTTAATGAATAAGAGGTACCATATGCTAATATTCACCAATGCCTTTAGAAAAACCCTATCACTTCTGAAATGTTTTCCAGAGAAACATAAGCACTATTTTTATAAAGGAAGTTGTTGGGGCGGGGGGGGGGGGGGGATAAGGCCTTTCAAAACATATTAGAAACACGTTGTTTCCATTTACTTATTTATTTATTTATTTTTGATGCTACCATGTGATTAAGGAACTCCTACTATAACAAGAAAATTCCTAGAATCAAGCCTGTCCTCTACCCCATCCATCCCCAACCTCACAAAGCTAGCATACAGTACTAGTCCAAGATTTATATACTAAGTCTAGTACTATAAAGAGTGCTCAGCAATAATTCACATAATTAATTTCATAAACTGTAAACTGTCTCCCCTTTTGGCCTTTAACAATATATGTTCAAATGTGATACCACTTTTTGGAACTACCTAAGTTTAGAAGAGGCAGAAGCAAGTTGGCTATTTGACACTGGTTAGTATTGGAGGCCAATTTCAAATAATCAAATCCAAGTATCTCCACCTGATTCATCTCCCTGACAGAAGACCGTCATGATGTACATAGTGCTCATTTTGATGATTACACACATGAGTGTGTGGAGTGCCTGCCAGGGCCCCACCTGGTTGTCTCTTGAGCTCCTATAATTCATCCACTCTGACAGGCACAGTCATCAATCACTGGGGGCCAGTTGCTGAGATTATTAATGGCCCTGTTAAAACCTTGCTCATGGAATATTTGGATTGATAAGACCATTTTCTTATGGAGCTCGGACACCCGTAGACAGTCAAGCTAACCCAAGAAGTAAACATCTGACCTAATTCATGCATTGCCACAACTTCTCAGTGTCTAAGTGCAACATTACTGGACAACATGGTCAAGCAGACCATACCATGGATGACAATAGCTTCTGGTTGTTGTTGCTTTCCCATCTAAGAGGTGAATATCTATTGTTGAGTGATGAATTCCTGTCTCAATCAATTATATTAATACTACTTCCTGCAAGCTTGACTTCACACAAAAATAACACCACAGATGATGCTCAGTAAACTGTTGCATGAATGAATGAGAACGTTGCGGGTGTTTAAAAGTAAAAGCATAAGTAACCGCTTCTGTGTTTTTAATCAGGGAATTTAAAAGTTAGTCTCTGTCTTCCTAGTGAATTGACTTAAAATCTGATTTGCATGCTCAGGGTGTTGGTGGCAGAAAGACAGGACGTTCTGGCCACTAGCAATATGCTTTTAAGTGGTATTTGTAAGAGTCAACTGGGAAAAAAAAGAATTAAAATAAGTTTAAAAGCAGTTCTTTCATTTCCTTTTCATGAAAAATTAGACTACAAAACGTATCAGTGGAAGGCACTTGCTTTACATTAGTCCAGCTCAGAACGCTGTGTTGTTCATATGACTCAGTGAAAGAATAGATCTGGTCTCAAATTCCCACTCAATTCTTTTTTTAAAATATATTTTTATTGATTTCAGAGAGAAAGGGAGAGGGAGAGAGAGAGATAGAAACATCAATGATGAAAGAGAATCACCGATCGGCTGCCTCCTGCACACCCCCACACTGGGGATTGAGCCCACAACCCGGGCATGTACCCTGACTGGGAATCAAACCCACGACCTCCTGGTTCACAGGTCAATGCTCAACCGCTGAGCCATGCCAGCTGGGCGCCCCCTCAGTTCTTTTTATAATATTATAATTGTAGAGTTCTGCCCAGTTGAAGTCCAGTGACTCCAGATAAAATAGCTAATCAACTTTCCAAAACTAAAAAAAAATGTTCTGATTAAGATAATTTAATCAGAACCCCCAATCCTGACCTAATGTTTGCAGAATTGTTCACCATATGTAAAATTTTTCCCAGGAGCAATGTATATTCCATTCTGTTTCTAAAAGGCCAAATCCCAAAATGCTGTTTGGCAGGTATTCATAAATTAGCTGAGTTCTTTACAAATGCTTCCACATTCTTTCCTGATACACTGGCTTCAGGTGACTCTCACTCTAATAAACCACCTATGAAATCAGTGGGCCTTAAACAATCCTTAACTATTTGATCTACTATGTTTTACCTAACCATCATAATTATGAAGAGCAATGTAACACTTTTCATAGCATTCAGTGATCTGCCCTTAGTCTTTGACTTCCCAGAAGGGGACCATTTATCGGCTAGATTGCTTCTATGGTCTCAAAATTTATTCAAGGGTTAGAAGATACCATCAGAATTCTAATCAAAGCAATGTTGAGAAAATAAAATGGGCCAGGAATGGCTCTCTTGACAAAGAACTTTCTTACTGTTAAGGTATAAAACATGATTATGTTTTTTAGTTTCTCTTCATAAATTTATATTTGCATCACTTGACATATCTTTTCGACAGAGCATCTCTATGCCATGTTGACAATACAATGCAAGAAATACAAACATTTAGCTACTCAGTCTGTTTCACAGCTAACATCTACCTAGGATTCAATATGGATTCATCCTAATCAATGATAAAATTAATATTGTAAAAGTCCTACAGCACCTTCTGCAATTCTAACCTTAAAAATGATCCAGATTATCTTACCAGGTAGGTTTTAGGTACAAAGAGTGGATGAAACCTTATTAAAGGGCTTACTTGGTAAACGAGAAAACAGCAGTCTCCACAGTCACCTCTTTGAACACTGACTGGTGACTGCAGTCATTGGACTGATTTTTTAGTCTCCTGCTTTATCTGGGATCTCCTTAGGAATGGCCAGTCCATTTCTTCAGAAAAGCCAGCTACCCCGGCCTCTCATTTCTAGAAGCCTCTGTAAATGCCCGAATGCAATGGTCCACTCCCTAACCTCACACACCGATGGTCAGGGCCTCAAGCTGTTGGGTGCTTTTATCCTGGATTCTTTGTTCCATTGTCCCTTCCAAAAATTCCCTTATGTTATCTATTAACA